GGAAATATCAGTCATGCGATTTCGTAGTCAACATGAAAAAGGAAGTGAGATACAAATTTTCTAAAGTAAAAAGTATAAAAAACATCTAGTCTCTTTTTTGTTGTTACATTTTATTAGTTTTTTCACTACTAAACTAAAACAACTACCCACTACCACAGCTACCCACTACCCTAAAAAGCAAAACAGGAGTTACAAACAATAATAATAATAATATCACGTTTTTGCAAGATTCTCTTGTGTTATCATAAATGAAAAGAAGTTTTTTAACAGTTTGTCTCAGGGGTGTCAAACATGTGGCCCGGGGGCCAGATCAGGCCCCTGGAGGGCTTCTATCAGACCTGCAGTAGAACTGGCTGTCTTCTGCTGCTTCTTCCAGTTCTGCTGCTGCGTCATCGTAGTTTCGCAGCTTACAGATGCGCACCTGAACAGCATGGTCAAGATTGCAACTGCACAGACATTTTGATGCAATAATTCAGAGCATTATCAGACACTGTTAAATAAACAAAGCATTGCAAGAGTGCTAATGTTTTAAGCATGTTTTTATTCTAAGTTTAAAAAAACCCTTTGTGTTTGTGTTCTTGATAAAGTTTATGTCTCCGCTCCCTGGCGTTACATTTTATGACATGCATGGCCCGGCCCGACCTGGTCTCATTTATGTCAGATTTGGCCCTCGTAACAAACGAGTTCGACACCCCTGTTCTTAGGACTTCAGATCCACATGTACAAACTCATATTTGATTTAAGCAAGTATTTGAATGGTTAAACTTTTATTTTTAAGTTATAACGGTTATAACGGTTACTTTCCCTTTTTCACCTTAATTTTCACCTTAATCCCATCTGACTTTTAAAAGTTTGGGAGCTGCTTCCCTCAATTCTGATGGAGAGTCTTCTGATGAGCTGCTTGCTTCACTCTCTGAGCTTCCTGATCCATGTGTGCTGCATTCTCCTTCTTCTTGATGATTTTTCTCTTCCTCAGTTGGATTTTTTCTCGTTTGTCCTTGTCTCTGTTCCAAAACTCTTTTTGCTTTGGCCACAGAGTCAATATTTTCTTTTTTGTCCTTGTACTTGAACGTTAAAGCTTCAGGTATCAGCTATCTGTAATTTATGGAGGTTTTTTTGCAGGAAGGTAGTTAAAGCATTATATTGTCTCCTCTTCTTTCTTCCTTCAAACGGTATATCCTTTAGAACTCTTATTTCAGCATCTTTAATTTTTAAGGTGTTCCCATTTGTGGCCTTGAGCACGACATCTCTTGTAGATCTTTTGGAGAATCTCACCATAATTTCCCCTGGCAGGTTTTTTTTCTTGATGACTTCAGGATATGTCCTGTAGACCATATCCATATCGCTTTGCATTAAATCCGGTTTAAAACCTGTCATCACTTGCTTTGTGGTGTAGAAGTACAAGCTGGGTTTCGAAGAGGCAGAGGAACTAGAGATCAAATTGCCAACATTCGCTGGATTATGGAGAAAGCAAGAGAGTACCAGAAAAACATCTACTTCTGCTTCATTGACTATGCTAAAGCCTTTGACTGTGTGGATCACAACAAACTATGGCAGGTCCTTAAAGAGATGGGAGTACCAGACCACCTCACATGTCTCTTGAGAAACCTGTATAAGGGTCAAGAAGCGACAGTTAGAACCGGATACGGAACAACTGATTGGTTCAGCATAGGAAAAGGAGTACGACAAGGATGTATACTGTCACCTTGCTTATTTAATATATATGCAGAGTACATCATGCGAAATGCTGGCCTGGATGAATCACAAGCCAGAATTGAGATTGCTGGGGAAAAGATCAACAACCTCAGATATGCAGACGATACCACTCTAATGGCAGAAAGTGAAGAGGACCTAAAGAGCCTCTTGCTCAGGGTAAAAGAGGAGAGCGCAAAAGTGGGCTTGAAGCTCAACATCAAAAAAACTAAGATCATGGCATCCGGCCCCATCACTCCTTGGCAAATAGAAGGGGAAGTCGTGGAAGTAGTGACAGACTTCACGTTCCTGGGATCCCAGATCACCGCAGACTGTGACTGCAGCCATGAAATTAAAAGACGCCTGCTCCTTGGGAGGAAAGCGATGGCGAACCTAAACAGCATGATAAAAAGTAGAGACATCACCCTGCCAACAAAAGTCCGCATGGTCAAAGCAATGGTATTCCCAGTAGTCATGTATGGCTGCGAGAGTTGGACTATAAGGAAGGCCGAGCGCCGAAGAATAGATTCTTTTGAACTATGGTGCTGGAGAAGACTCTTGAGAGTCCCTTGGACTGCAAGAAGATCAAATCAGTCAATCCTAAAAGAAATCAACCCTGACTGTTCCCTGGAAGGCCAGATAATGAAACTGAAGCTCAAATACTTTGGCCACCCAATGAGAAGGGAGCACTCACTGGAGAAGACCCTGATGCTGGGAAAGACTGAAGGTCAAAGAAGAAGGGGACGGCAAAGGATGAGATGGTTAGACAGTGTCATCGATGCAACGAACATGAAGTTGAGCCAACTTCAGAGGACGGTGGAAGACAGGAAGGCCTGGCGTGATCTGGTCCATGGGGTCGCAAAGAGTCGGACTCAACTGTGCGACTGAACAACAACAACAACTTCTCTATCAGTCTACTCTAGGATCCTGGTAAACTATTGTTCTAGGGTAATTAGCTCAACCAGTTCCAGGTACTAGTTGAGGCATGACTTAAGCTCCATATGTAACAACTTTATAAATTATTTCTCTACAAGATATATAAATTTATAAATTATTTCTCTACAAGAAGGAATAATTCGAGATGTATCCAATTGCAGATTGCCAGTTTGTCGGACAAAGCCCCATTAGGTCCTGTGTTGAAGGGTTTCCCCCCGCTCCTCTCAGTTTATCTTATTTTCGCTATAGCTTTTCTATCACACTGTGATGAGACCAATTTCGTTTTCCTATCAGAATTAAGATTTTCCGAAACAAAAACCCAAAAAATGGATAAAGAATGGTTTTTTCAAAACAAAAACCCAGCTAGCTTTTTTGGACTGCATCGTCTCTACACGTTTTCCCAACCCCGCCGGTCCAGCTGCAAGAAAGGTCCGCGTCTGGGAAGACCCGCCAGGGGGAACGTCCACCCAACCCAACGCGGGGAAAAGCGGGGCCGCTCTAGCCCTTCCGTCTCTACGGGCCCCTCGTCCTGAGCGTGCTGAGGCGCTTCCGCCCGTCCCCCTTCCCGTCGCGCCCCGCGTTTCCGCCTCCCCCTCCCTTTCCGCTTTCCGTCCTCAGACTGCGGGCTTAGAGGACACGAGTGGGCTCGGAGCGCGGCGGGCGGCGGCAGGTGAGGGAGGCCCCGATCCCCAGGCGGCCTCGGTTGGGCGGTCTCCTTGGGGGCGCTGGTGATGCTGTGGGGGGTTTTTTTTTGCCCGACTCGCTCTCTTTCCGTCCTCTCCTGCCAGGCGGCCGGCCGGCGGCGGCGCACGGAACGGTCTCCTCTGTTGTGTTTTCACCGCGGTGCTGCACGCTGGGCCCGGCGGGGCGGCTGGAGTCGGCTTGGGGAAGGAGCTGCCAACTGTTGCCATAGCAACTCCGCCTTGAGCCGGGTCGCCAGTTTCCAAGTGGGGGGCCTGGAGTCCTCCCAGAAATGGCAACGGGACTCTCCAGCAACGTTCCCTCTAAGCTGTGGAGTCTTGTGAGCAGAAATTCTACTTGGTGAGCTGCTGGCATTCAAGTTCTGAGCAGGTAGTTTGGCTGCTGCATAAAATTAGTTTGCTCTGGAGCCCCCATCCTTCCTGAGCTAAGACAAAAATGTGTGAGCCGGGG